GATGCAATGATGTCTGAGTGCGACTCAAAGTTTTGCCTGACAGAAAAGTACCTGCAAAAAAAAGAGAATGCAAAGAATATACAAGATTAAATAGTCCTGTCAGGACAAAATTAACAAAATAAAGACATACTTACTTTTTGTAAATGTTTAACATGTTTTAGTTGCACGAATTTAAGACTTTAAATGATTCACGGACACTCTGCAGTAGGAAAAACAAAAGCTGCTTTACCAAGAAACAAGGAAGACGTTTACAAAACGTTTGGACTGAACAGAAAGAAAATGTGCAGCAGAAGTGAAATCCAGTCATGTCTTCCAGATTTTTCAGTGCTGCTCAGTTTAGTTTTATTTGAACTGGTTTGATTTGTAACGTTGCACAAAAAGGATTAGTTTTATTTTATATAAAAACAAGTATGTATATTAAATCAAGAATGTGTTTTTATGATGTAAAGCACTTTGGACTGTTGCTGCTGAAATGTGTTGCACAAATAAACTTGATTGGTTGATAAATGTGTAACAGAGGGGTGTAAACATGACTCACAGTTGACCAGCTTGACCATGGCTAGCAGGTTAGCATTGAGCACGAACACCAGGGGGTCTGGGCCTCCCTCCTCCAGCTGCTGCATGAGGACGATCTCCGACGGTCTCTCCTCCACGGCGTAATCTGCGGGAGATTCAGAGCGCTAAAGTCAGGTCAACAGGAAGAAACCAGCCGGAGCGAGACAGAGATTCAAAGTCCTGCTGTCTCTGGTTAGAACAAACACAACAGCTTCCACGACATCGTTTAAGCATCGCCTCAGCGTTCCCGTGAACAAAGCTTCTCCCCTCTCTGTTGGCAATGAGTGGTGCAAAACATGAGCGGTGACACAAAGGCCATGAGGAGCACACTAAATGGACACAAACACAGCAGCAATGAGGAGGCAGCAGAATGGTGAGGATGAAGGCAAGCACCTGTGATGTGGCCTCCCGTACCTCCTTTGACTCCGGTGGAGATGAGGATGGGAGGGAGCCCGTCCTCCGGGATCAGGCTGAGGGAGCTGCCCACGGGGCTGCCCGCCGGCGCCACGGGGGTCTGGGCCGCCTGCAGGGTGGAGAGGAGGCGTTAGGCTACACCTGAAGTGACCCGAATGTGACCTCTGTCTGACCTTTTCATGACATTCCGAACAACACAGACTGGATTTTTTTGGGCTACTTGGATAGGGGGTCATAAATACGGATCTGATGAAGGCGGTGCACCGATTGCAATTTTCTGGTTGATTGTAGATTACTGATCTTTAAAAAAAAAAAAAGCATTCATTTTCTATGCACCACAAATCTGGAACAAACTTCCAGAAAACCGTAAAACAGCTGAAACGCTGACTTCCTTTAAATCCCGACTAAAAACCCTCCTGTTTAGAGTCGTATTTGAAACGCAATCAATTATGAATTCAATGCTGGCATTTAACTTAATGTAATGTTTTGATTGTTGATTCTATGTTGCATGACTCTGTGTTTTTGTGTTTGTTATGATGCAAAGCACTTTGAAATGCCTTGCTGCTGAAATGTGCTACATAAATAAAATTTGATTGATTGATTGATAAAAAGCCTGCCCTGCCAATTCTGAATTTGGCCAATACCAATTTTTTTTTTTTTGTCTGACATATTGATAAAAGTGGCAGGAAAGTCGGTGGAGTGACTGTTCTTAACTGCAAACATGCAGCCACAACCTGATGACCGCTCCGTCAGTCAAACCGCTCCGTCAGTCAAACCGCTCTCACAGAAGAGGACAGTGGATGATAAATCCACTCCTAATGTTTTCTAAATCTGGGGTCGGGTCGCAGAGGCAGCAGCCTAAGAAGTCCAGACTTCCCCCAGCAGCTTCAAGTTCAGATTAGTGGAAGAAAAACATTTAGTGTGAAGCTTAATTGGCATCTTCTGTTGATTCCCTCGTCTCCACTGAGTTTCTTTCTACCGCCACATGGCCAGTTTGCCAGAAATTGGCTAGAATTAGATTACCTAATGCAACGTCACTTGAGATAATTTGAGCAGGAAACGTCTCTCGGCTGAGCCACATGAAATTTATTGCTTTCTGCAACAAAACTCACTGGGACAGCTGGTATTCAGAAGCTGTTCACTCCAAACAAATACAAAGGCTTTGCTGTAGGAATACTTTTACATGAGCATAGTCTCATTAATGGTCCAACCAAGCACAATATGTCTCAATATTAAGCTTTTTAGTGCCGTAGCATTTATAATTCTCTTCACTTTAACATGTTTAACATATTACAGTCGGTTATGGAGGCAGGATTTCCTGAGTAAAGAGCTCATTCACTGCAAAACCATACATTTTTATCAAGTATGTTTAGTCTAGTTTCTAGTGCAAATATCGTAAAACATTTGAAATAAGAAAACTAACCCATAGAAGTTCTATTTCCACTGGCAGATTATTTCATTTATAACATGGGAAAATGTCTTGTTATAAGTGAAATAACCTGCCAGTGGAAATGCTACACTTTCATCAACATTAAGGAATTACTGACTCAAAACAAGCTCCTATTTATTGCTGAAAAGTTACTTGTAAGTTAGTTTTGTCTTATTCCAAGTGTGCTGAACTATGTGCACTAGAATCTAGGCTAAAACACTTGATAAAATGTTGCGACTCCCTTTAATCATCCGTTTGAGCTAAGCTAGTAGCATAGGTCGGGGCTACACGCGCTTCGTACCGAACTCGCCACGGGGGCCTCCGCCGTGGCGGACTTGTTGGAGCAGGTGGAGGCGACCCGTGACTGCGAGGACGCCGAGCCGGAGGACGGCGGCTTGGAGGACTCTGCTGTGTCTCCGTTTGGAAGAACCCCGTCGGCGAACCAAACCCTCCTCTGGTCCCGCGACAGGGAGCCTAAACAGGAAACAAACAGAGAACTTAAACAATATCAGAGCGATTAATCCGCCAGTTATTTTAGTGATTGATCAAATATTTTTTTGGTCATTATTAAAAAATAAAATCTTTTTTTAGGGCTGCAATTATTGTTTCAGTAAGCAATTGTTCTTACACTGACGATTAATCGGTTGAAAAAAAAAAAGCTCACATTTTTCATTTAACCACCTTTTTTTTATACGTTATTAGTAATGTATAACAACTGCAAATAACTTATTTTTAAAATAAGAAAATAAATATTTTATGCAATAACATAACATGCTTGTTCATTTATAGAAAACAAAGCTAAAAAATAGATATCTCCAACATCAACATGTAAAACGCTCAGTAATTTCTGCTTTGGTTTATCAATACAGCGTAGGGCTGATATGTTTATTAGTCAATTTATTTTTGATAAACTGATTAATAATTTGAGGGAAAAAGGCAATAGGATTTTTTTAAATGATCATTTTAATCAAGTGAAGCTAAAATTATGACATTTATGTTGGTTTTGGTAGAACATAAAAAGGTTTTCTTCCTTTTTCTTTAATAAAAATTATATATTTTCAGTACAGTTTTGACTTAATTACTGCTCTTGTTATGTTCTTTCAGCAAATGGCATCATTTAAAGTCCAGATGACGATTAACCAATTACTAAATCACTTAATGATTATTTTAATAAACGATTAATTGCGTTTAATCGTTTGTGCCCTAAAAAAAATACATTAATTTCAGGCCCAGTTGTTGGTTTTTCCATCTATTGGGACAGAATGTCATTGCAAAAGGATATAAATAACAGCTTCTTATTCTCTTGCTGATGAGGAACGCACCTTCATTGCCGGGTTGCTTCAGGACTCCCACGGGCACCATGACCGTGGGAGGCGGCGAGCTGAGGACCCCAGACGCCTGCGCCTGCTGCAGGGGGGGGATGGTGGAGCAGTACTCTGCCGGGTTGTTCGGGTTTGGACTCTGATTGACTGCAGTAGCTGGCGTCTCCGCTGATGGAACTGACGGCAACAGAACACAACATCCATAAATATAAAGCAATTGTTGGGTTTCGGATGACGTAGCACCAACGTCACCCAATGCAGATGGAGGGCCGGAAGTAAATGCGGCCCATTTATTTCTGTTGATCCAGCATCAAAATGCCTAAAGTCTGAGTCCTGACTTTAGGCATTTTCTTTTTCTTTATCTCGTTCTGATAGAAATAAAGATAAAACATTTTCGTGTTTCAAAGGTAAAATAAGAAGGTAGTTGGTCACAAGGGAGTTAATTTTAAAAAGATTTACAAAAAAAATAAATAAATAAGGAGAAAAGTGGATCAACAATCTACAGCTTAAAATAGGAGGTGCGGAAACTAACAATGCCAGAGTTTGCAGCGCCACTTTCTAACAGGTAACGATCGCATCGTTAAAAATGTATTTTTAGATGTTTTGTTGGACAGCTACTTAGAAAGACAAGCATTCATATGTAAGGTAAGACATATTACTTTTATGCCCTTAGCGTGGTTGTCCTCAGAGTGCTAATATTGTTAGCAGCTAGCTCAGTGCCGAGTCACGGACAGAAAATATGTTTATTCAGTGGGACTTTCATACTTAAAAAAAAAAACCGCTAAATAAATGAAATGTAACATACCCAGCCAGTCACCGTGAGCTGTGACTATTCCCATACCCGGTTCGTGTCTGGACACGAACACGGGGGTTTCAGTAGATCGGTGCGAATCGTTGACCTACATTGGACCTGAATCCAGCTTCCTACAGCGACTCAACATCATCGTACAACTCCAGCAAAAAAATTTGGGTTTACAGAAGCTAAATAAATTATTTACCAGGAGATTCAAGCTCATAGAAATAACATAGTTAGTTCGTTGTTAGCGATAGCATCGTTATAATAGACTAATTACTTAAAATAGTACAATTCACTACTCACCTGGCAGAAACAAGTCGACAGCCATCTAATGTTTTTTTTTATTTTTATCCTAAATGCTTGACCCAACTTGGAACTAAATGATTGTATTTTCCAGGCTTTTGAAATCTTTCTTCTGGCTCGTGGTATAATATGAGGTCTGCAACTCCAGGTAGTTAGTGGACAGCCTCGATGCGGGTAAATCCTCAAGATTATAAGAGAAGTCTTTTTTACCGAGATAATACGGAGCATATCCTAAATATATGCGTATTTTTTCGAGATGCCTCGGCTTTTTCAGCCTATTTAGGGAATTAGCTACTCGTGATCAACTTTGCTTTGTTTTGAACCGGAGAAATCCACTTCCGGCCCGCAATCTGAATTTCGCTTATTGAAACCCAGCAATAAGCTAGATATTTCTAAACATCCAACAATAATAAATGTATTGTTATATTTATTGTTTAGACTAATATCGACATGTTTAGATATCTGATGTATCTGATTTTTGATTGTAATTTATTGATTTCTCCTCTAATTTTGGGTGATGTCAAGAAGCCATAAGCCATCAATTTGTTATTGTGCCAAATTACATCCACAAATATTAACACATTTTACTGAGATTTAAAATGAACAACAGACAAACACAAGCTAGGGTCATTCATTCCCAGTAAATCTGGTAGCTTTAAATGAAATCATGGTTGACACATGGTGGAGGAAGCACCATGCTGTGGGGTGGAAAGATTTTTGAAGTATTCAAAAATAGTTTTAAAATGAAACGTCAACTCATTATCCAGGTTTGAATAAAGAGTTGTTGAAGATACTGATGATTGTGGGCAGGAAGGATCTCCTGTAGCAGTCTGTACTACAGTGTATCTGATGAAGCCTCTGACTGAAGACGCACAAATTTGTCTGTAATGTTTTTAATTTTATATAAAAAAATAAAATAAACAATGAAAAAGAAGATTCACCAGAGAGACACACCTGCAGTTTTCATTAAAGATTCATGAGTTTTATAGTGAAATAAACTGATTTTGTAAAAATGTTACTTTTGTCTGATGTTATTTTGTAATTTATATGATTTATTTTCATTTTGGTCTTTAAAATACCAAAATTTTCCTTTATACTTTGGTCCGTCTGATGATGTAATGTTTAAATATTAAATGATTGATGCGTTATCACTCAGTTGCCTTTTTACCAAATCCTTTTATAACTTAAGTAATTTCTTGGATGGCTATATATTATTTTTACTAAAATAAAAGTATGTTGAAGTAGTGCTAGTCTTAATTGAGTACTTTACCCACCAGTGGGTATGAGGTTAAGTATTGGCAAATATATATATATATATATTTTTTGCAAATATTAGATTCTCTTCTCCAGTTTTTCTTTGTAGGAAATGTTGAAAACAGAGCATCTTCTGCTTTCTAACCCCTAATTAAGCATTACTTTGTGATGAAATGAGACAAAATGTGAAAAAGCCAAACGGATAAGCGTGACTGTTGCTCACCGTGAGTCAGGGCAGAATGACAGGTGACACAAACGCGGGCCTCCTTCCTGTCCATGTAGAGCAGCTTACACTTCAGGCTGCAACACGCTGCACAGAACACCTTAAAGAGACCAACACTGCATCAACACACACACACACACACACTGCACTTTAAATAAACATTTCACAAACTAAACCAGAGCCCCCTGTGTGCTGCAAGGTTTTACTGAGACCTTTGACCTTCCTGAGACGATAATGCTGCATCTACTGTTTACAGCTGCCATCAAGGTGTTACTATTACTGCAGCGCCGGCTCCTCCCAGCTCCACTGGCAGAGCCACAGTGTTTGTTTACCACCTTGGGAAATTAAGCAGCGCTCCACCCAGTTATCCAGTGCAGTGTCAGCGACCGCATGCTGCATTTACAGCAGCGCGGACGCCATGCGGGGGCGGGCCTTGCGCAGGCTGCAAACAAATAACGACTGACAAAGTGCATCCAATTTGAATTTCCTCTCCCTATGCTAATTATTTAGTTTTTTTCCTTTAGGTTACAATACAGCTCTGGAAAAAAAATTAAGAGACCATTTAAAATGATTAGTTTCTCTGATTTTACTCTTTATAGGTCTATGAGTAAAATGGAAATTGTTTTCTTTTCTATGAACTATTGACAACATGTCTCTGAAATTCCAAGCAAAAGTTTAGTTTTTATTTGCAGGAAATGCAAATAAAAACATCTTTTTCTCTGCATCTTTTTCATAAAAAGATGCAGTCTCTGTGCGTCTCTGCATCTTTTTCATAATTATGAAAAAGATGCAGAGCTTTTAGAAAACAAAGAAAAAACAAAGAAAACAAGTTAATGTTCATATAGAAACAACAATAATAATGTTTTAACTCAGGAAGAGTTCAGAGATCAATGTTTGGTGGAGTAACCAGGAGGTTTTCAGGGGGATCAGTGCTGTGGCTCTTCATCGTTTCCAGAGATGTACAACTGCAACCAGCGGCCATTTGAGTTAGCAATTATTCTATTGATTAATCGGACATAAAAATTGTCACGTTTTTCATTCAATTACTTAATTCTTTGTTTTTTTTTAACAAAATTATACATACTTTTTTAAATGAGTAAATAACTATTTTATTGCCTAAACAGCATCCCGTTAGTGTACATTTGATCATTTGTAGCAAAAGACAAATGATATTCACTCAACATGTAAAAAACTCACCACTTTCTGCTTTAAGTAACATCAATATAGGATATTACTAATCTATTGACTATTATTTGGAGTAACCAATTAATAATTGGGTAGAAATAAAAGTTTAAAGGGACGTTTTCTTTACAGAATCTGAACCAGGCGAAGCTAAAACTGCCACTTGAGGAGTTTTGGCTTTATTCCTGTGTTATTTTTCAGAAAATGTTTTTTTTTTTCAGTCTGTATACTTGAGTTGGTATTTAGAGGAGCAGCTGTGCATGATGAAAGTGGATGTTTAAGTCTCCCATGGTCGCCTCTAACCGAGTTAAAGCAGCGCTGACCTTGCCGCAGGCCCTGCAGTGGTGCCTCCTCTTGGTGAAGGTGAACTTGACGTCGCATTTCATGCAGACCGGGGCCTGCGAGTCGGGCACCCACACAGGAGCCACCTCCCCCAGCAAGCTGGCGGCCTTCCTGCACAGCGCCCCCTGCTGCCCGGCCTGAAGGTCGTTGTCGGGGCTCTCGGACGCCGTCAGCGACGGAGAGCGGGTTCCTCCGTTTCCGTTGAGCGAACTCTGGCCCGTCCCGCCCGGCGCCGGGTCGGTGGGCGAGCCTCTGCGGCAGATGCTGTCCATGTTCTTGTTCTTGGCGCCGAGCTGGTTCTGGACCTGGCCGGACAGCGGCTGCGGGATCTGCAGCTTGAGGCTGACCGGCTGCTTGGGCCGCGCTCCTCCGTAGGGAACGCTCACCGGCTGCAGCCGGCTGTTGTTCAGCTTCGTTTGGGCGCCGGCGGACCCGGCCGCTCCGCCGTCGCTCAGCTCCTGCTTGCTCTCCTCCATCTCCTTCTCTTCGGTCACAGAGTCCTCCTTGGACGGGACGGGAGACGGAGAAAAGTCCTCGGTGTCTGCCGCTTCGTTGACCTTTAAGCTGCTTCCATTCTCCATCTTCAGACCGTTGGGAAGGATTCCTGTTCGAACTTTCTGCTCCGTTTGTCCATTTTCAGCACATTTTCTTCTCCCCTCCTCCTCCTCGTCCTGTGCTCTGTCCCTGCCATCAGGAGACAAACTGTTCTCCTCCACCTCTGCCTGGACAGTCTGACTCCCGTTCACACTTCCTCCGAGCTCCTCCGAATCTAAACTTTTTCCTTCCTGCTCAAAGTCCTGCAAAACAGCAGAACGGTTCTCATCTTTCAACTCTCCTCCATTCTGAGTCACATGTGGAGGATTATCCTCAGAAAGAGTCCGTTCCTCTGCTAACCCCATCTCAAACGTGAAGCGAGAGCCTCCACCGCCCACGGATGAAGGTTCCTCCTCGCTACCAAGCTGGACCTCAGCAGGAGAACCGGTCTGTGGGCTTCCTGTGCAGCCGTTCTCCACGACGCCGCATGGTGAGACGTCGTCGGCGCCCACCAGCTTGCCGATGTTGGGCTGAGGGAGAGGCGGGCTGTGGACATCCGCCGGCCTCTCCTCCGCCCAGGGTGGATGCTCGGGACCCGCTGGCCTTTTGGGGTCGGGCCCTGAGGAGGCGCTGGACGGGTCGGGAAGGGTCTTGAAGGGCAGCGGGCTCTCCCGGGGGCTGATGTCTGCGTGGGCCAGAGCGGGGTTCAGGGAGAGCATGTGGGCGGGCGGAGCCAGGATCTGCGTCCACTTGGCGTCCGAGAGAATTGACGTGTCCGTCTCATCTGCAAAAGAACGAAAAAACTCTTTACTTCCACCTGCAGCTTCAAATGTAAAAATATTTGCATCACTTGTGATTGTAAGATATTCAAACTTCAACAACTTTCAGCTTGTCAGCCAAAAGTTTAGTGTTCATCTCTTAACTTTCCTTTTTCCACATTTGCTCTGTTCTTATGCGACTTGTTGCAAACTTTTAACTGAAATTCTAATTGTTTTTATCTTCCGACTAGAACTGCACTGATAAATCAGACCATATTTCCTTAATTTTTGGTAGATCGGTCAACCTCATGCACCGATCTTAATCACCTAAATATCTGAAAATCACCCACTGTCCCCTTTTGCTCTGCTAGCAGAGACGGCTGGCCGACAGACCCGCCTCTCAGATAAAACCGTCACTATGCAGTCACTTCACTTTTGCCAGTTTAGTGGCTTTGTCGCTAAACTCAACGCTAAACTTCAACTTTTCAGACAAAAAAAAAAAAGAATCATTATTGGTTAAAATCGTAATCAGCAGCTCTGGCTTTTTAAAGACCGGTCATCGGCCAGAAGGTCCAGGTGAATAGCCACATCTTTTCAGTTGTGATTAATACACAAAGTTAGACACATTTGAACTCTTATCTACTGAAGAGTAGATAAGATTATCTTTGAGGTATAAAGGGCGCTGAATCCATGCAACATTTTAAGATTTTTTTGTGGTTTAAGTCTGACAAAGTTGCGTTTTAAGAAACTATAAACCACAATTATTACAAATGATCACACTTCCAGGTGATCAGAGAGCTAAAAATGGCTTGACCAAACGGAGAAATGAGGTCAGAATAGTTTGGAAAATCGGCGTGTGAATGAGCTGGAAAATTGTGAGAAAATGGGTTAAATGGTTCAGCAGCTCCAGGGAGGAATCCTGGATACGGAAAAATGAAGGTGTGAATGCTTCACCGTGAGATAAAACATTTCTGAAGCACATCTAAAATGATTTGCTCGCATTGCTGTGTTATTTACTACTTGCTGATCTCCTCCCTGCACAGGAATTCATGCAAAGCTCTTTCAGTGTGTGCCACATACACACACACACACACACACACCCCAAGTTAATCTGGCAGGCTGGATCTCTGGCTGACGGCACCTTCAGCCAAAACACACACCGAGTTCCCAGCACCTGTGTCTGTTATTCAGCACTTTCTTTTCTTGGGGTTATTTTCCATAAATCCACAAAACAGCCGCCTTTCTTCAACAATAGGGAAGCCAAGTCTGTCAAACACACAGCTCAGCACTGCAGTGTTTACTTTGCACTTACTATAAATAAACTCTGCAAAGCAACTTTCTCAGAAAGCCTCTAATTTCGATTCCCTGCTTATTCTAAGTGACCAAAAAAAGGACGCCCGTCTTGTCTTGAACCAATTACAGTTTTACTGAATCCCACAAGCAAAAAGCAAATCCAATTAGTGCCGTTCCCTCGCCGCGCGGCCTCAATCACTTCCCTGAAGTGTTACTCAGCTGTGACGGCTGGAAGCTCCTGCACACCTCAGTTGTTTTCCGTTTCCACGCCCTTCACCTGGCGTCTCACCTTCGTTCTGCTCGAACTCGTCCAGCACCTTGTCCAGGTTGAAGGCCTCGGCTTGGAAGTAATTCTCCATGGGTCAGGAAGCTCCACCTTGCCAACGGCCGCGTGAACCTGCCAACGAGAGGAGTTCACCAAGTCACCGATTTAATCTTTAAAAAAAAAAGAGAAATGTGCGTGGATGAGGGATGCAGCCAAAACTAAATTTAGTAATCAATCAGTCTGATGATTCATCAAATAAGCAAAAAAAATTGGCACAAAATCAGCAAATCATAACGTCATAGATTCCTCTAGTTTTGTGGTTTGGTATTTTAAATTACTGTCTAGATCCAAACAACTCAAAACATAATTTGAATCCCAGTTTAAACTTTTTTTTTGTCTAAATGACTCCTGACTGAAGCACAGATGGATATTCTGTGTGCTGTTCTTTGTATCGTTGTGTTGACCTTGGTTTCTGTTTGCTTTTCATTTATCCAATAATAAAATCTAAATTAGGTGCATCATCGTTATTATTTCAACATTATTCCTGTATCACAATAACCTTATTTTCTATAAAAAATAAATACATGAAAACCCTATCCTGACCCTTGCATTTCATAGCAGAGTATGCCTGAATTCAAAGTCCAAATAAACAGAAGCTGTAAAACACGCTCGTCAAGAAAGATGGCGGCTCTGGGCGTGCTGACATCACTCTGAACTATTTAAACCCAACAAACATTGGTAAAAAAGAAAAAAGAAATTAGTCGAGAGGATCCATCTATCACCCAGCTCTGCTTCCCACTAAATTTTCCATTAATATCCTGTAGAAAACTAAATGTTTGTGACCTTTTATGACTTAGTCTGCTTGTGGAGGGAGAATGAACTCATCTAAAAGTAAAATGGCTTTGCTAAACCTATATCTCTGTGTGATTTACAGCTAAAGTTAATACTCACTCTACCAACTATCCTCTGTTTTCTAGGTTGCCACGCATCACAGACAAAAACACTGCAACAGTTACTCTAAACAGGCAGTTTTATGGCTGGAAACTATATTTGCACTTCCCTACACAATCCTGGCTAAACAATAATGAATTAAATGGAGAAGCTCACCTGCACGGAGGTCCTACTCTGCAGCCCCGGGCGGTGGGTTTGTCTTCAGCTCGCGGTTCTGCCTTCACCCAGTCTGGCAAGCGCCCAGCGCCCACACCTGAGGGAGGAAAACACCTTTACAGATCTTCCTCAACTCTTGTTGCAACACCTGCAGCTGTTTGCCAAACCTGCTATATGAGTAATGTTACCGCACCATGCAGCTCTACAACAGTTAAAACATATATTCACAGGTTTAGAATTAGGTTTGCAATAAAATATTTGGTTCTGACATTATGGTACATCTAAATTTCAGTGGTTGTGTTTTCATTGACCACAGAATTGCCCAAGTTGGAATTACGAAAAATGATTTCACCAAAAACTCACATTTTCCAATAAGGATTTTGAGGTTTCTAGGATGAGACGGTATTACAGCAGACGGACTGCAAAAGAAACACTGATTCTTATTGTTGATTTTTAACAGAGAGCATCAACAGAAACATTTCTTTCACATCACAGGAGCCATGTGATCAACAGACGGATGTTACTACTGATGGAAAAGACGAAGAAGACGACAGGAAGTGGTAGAAGGATGGCAGCATGTCATGTTTTTCTAAAAATCACACAAACAAACTTATTCACCTGTGATTTTAATTGTGTTTATTATTTAAGTGAAACACCACAATTGCAAAATCTTATTTTTTAATCATTAACGGGATATCTACAAACTTTTGCCCATATTTGTAATGGAAACACAGCTTCTTCTCAACTGGAGTCTCCAAACTCCAGAATCTCAGAGCAAAATGCTGCAGAGAAACTGATGGATGAACACCAGAGAGCCAAAAGCTTCAACTTCCTACCAGCTTACCTGATGGAAGAGGACTGGAATGCCGCCCAGCAGGTCCAGCCCACAGAAGACCCACCAGTAACACAAAAACCAAAAGACTCACAACCAATATCTTCTGTCCAGAACAAAACAATTGGCAAAACCAAGTCAGTTTTCTGGCCGACTGACGATTACCAATATTTAAAAAGCCTGACCTGCCGATTCCTATTTTGGCCGATGCCAATTCTTTTGTCTGAAATGTTGCTCAATATGCCAAGAAAGTTCCTGAGTGGGCAGCAGTGGGGTAATATTTTTAGACTTTTGCCGAGGTAAATAAGGTTAAGATTGGCTTCACATGTAAAAATCGGCCGATCAATCAAAATTAAGGAAATCGGCAATTATAAATCGGCTGGCCGTTAAATCGGTGCTCCCCTACTTTAAACACAGGAGGTCCATCTGTAGGTTTGTCTCTACTAACATTTTTGTTAAAGTACAGCTGGAGATTTCATGGGAAACTGTGGTTTTAAGTTGATGGAGAGTGTTTGATCTATAGAAAACTAAACGATTCCTCAAACATGCATGAAAGAATCAAAGCAGCAACCTAATATAAAGCTCAAAGAAGACAATTTTACATAACACTTCCCTTTAAGGACACACACTCGCACTGACAGCACATCAACTGGCTCGTCACGTGCGCTGCAGCTCCTCGTACGCTATCAGCCATCACCGCGCCGACCTTGACAAAGCAATCAGAGTCGCGAATGGAAAAAGAGGCTTGACGTCTGAAACGAGGCTCGCTGAACCTGCCCAGACTGTCCTCCATCACGCCAAGACCTTGGAGCGGGGACGGGATGAGACTGTGTGAGTGCGGCTGCAGATGAGTAAGAGTTGAGCTGATCTTCAGGGTCGTTCTCATAAGGACAGGAGGGGCGAACAAGGATTACACCAGACAAACGATACTCTGCAGCCACATGGCCTCTAAGACTTACAGGTCCTAGTTTCAGCCAGGCTCAGAACTTTTAAAGGATCAAAGGAAACGACAAACCCAGGACGCTTTCAGCTGCAATGCCATTATTACTGAACATGATGCATGTTCACACAGATCAGAAATCACTTCAGGCTGCAGCTAAACTTACCCCCCTTAGACAGAAAACCACATACGGTGATAAACTGCATATTTATTGAGCGTTTATCTCAGTAGGTTTTTGGACTTGTGACAGCAAGTTGCTTAAGGACATGCAGTTAAATCTAAAGCGTTTCTCTGGAGCTGGAGGCGGATTGTTGTGACTGCAAAAATGATGCAGGAGAATTTTCTGACTGCAAGCAATTAAATAACATGTTTGTGCAACACGTTTGAAATGTCATTAATCAGGTTATTTCACTAAGCAGTGGTGCTACAGAGAACAAATAGTCATGTTCTTCTACTGAGTAAGCAACACGCAGCAAGCAAGTTGATACATAAATAATGCAAAACGACTGTCATTCACTTTCATCAATGAAGTAGAAAACCAATATAGGCAATAAAGTGTTGGTGTCTAGCATTAAGTTAGACTAAACATTTCTTTTTTCAGGTCATATGGGATAACCCAAAATTATTTCAATTTGCAAAATGACAGAAATAATTCACATAAATATTACTGTGCCTTTAAATAATTTATGAAAGTCCAGATGATGATGTCATGGGTTTGCAAGCTTCTGATAGGTTAGTTCAAAAAACGTTGGAGTAAATTGGAGGGACACATGTACGGAAGAGGATTAGGGCCACTGGAGAGAAAAAAAATCAGATTTTAATCTCAGAATTCTGAGGAAGAAAGTCAGAATTCTGAGATTAAAGTCAGATTATTATTTTTTTTAATCCCCCAGTGGCCCTAATCCTCTTCCATACATATGGCAGTATTTTAAGTTTTGTTCATTTTAATTATTATAGTTTGCAGAGAATGAAAACAGAGGATACACTTTTTAAGAAAACTGGAATATTAAATGATGCCAGTAAGACTTGCAAAAATAAACAAAATTGTATACAGCTGAAAATGTCTGTCACAAAAAGTGATTTTTTTTTAACTGCCATGTTTTATATTTGCGTTTCTTGATGACGGTCTTTCCCATGAGTTTGTCCGCCATTACACAATACTTGATTATTAAAAAAAGCTTTCTTTTGCGCTTACATTAAATTGTAATTTGAGTTTTCACTGCTTCCAACTAGGCCTGTCACAATAACAAATTTTGCTGGACAATAAATTGCCTCAGAAGTTATTGCGATACACAATAATGTTGTTTTTGAGACCATTTTCTAGCAATATAATGGTAATGGCATAATAATGGTATAAGAACACATTCTCAACTTTAGGTTTTAATGATCATTTAACTGTGAAACAGGAAGGCATTTCAAATATCCAAAATAAATACAAAACAACAGAAGCAACAAATAAATTATTATACTTAAAAAAAAGCAGCTAGTTGAGACCAAAACACCAGACTGAAGACTTTTGTCATCCAAAAAGAGAAAAACAATAAATCATGCAAATGGAAATTATTGAGCTCATTTTGATTTATCATGCTATTAGTTGATTTATTGCATCTAGGGTATAATTACTAAACAATGTGCATCAGTCTTAGTTAATCCGTAGGATGGATAAAGTCAGTTCACTTTTCCATGACAGTCTAAAGCTGAAATCCACCAGTCAGGTGATGCAGTTTGAGGAAAGCAAAGGGAAACGTTGGCATTCTCTGAACAGAGCCAAAGTTTTGCTCGCGCTGACCTCAGCTGAAGCCTTTCCTTGTAAACCGAAGCGGTCCTGCACCACAACCCTCTGAATACACCCAAAACACACAAAGATGCAACTCCGTGGAGACAGGAGCACAACCCTAATTACGGTTTAATTACTCTGCAGAGGTGCTGAATAATGCATCTCCAGCCAAAGTGCATGGCGGAGTTGTATTTTTAGACTTGTAAACTCATTGGAGGCTTAAGTGAAAGAAGAATTTCAAAAGTTGCTTCCACTGCAGTATAGCTGCTCTCAATGTGCGAGTCCAGCTGGGTCTCATAAAATATAATATTAATATTTAAAGCTATAGATAATTATCCGATTCATTAAAACACCATTAATGTTTGCCATTTTTGTTGTGTGAATATATTTCCTTTAAAGGTGAATGTAGCAGGAGACTGTAGACAATAAATATGGTGTAGAGACTGTAGACAATAAATATGGTGTAGACTGCATCATAAGAAATTAATTTTACAGATATCAGTGTATTATAAGCCTGGCGGGCCACAAGGCCTTATTTGTGCCCCCACCAGGCTTAGCATTGTGAATTTATTAGTTGTTTTTTTTAATAATTGCCTTTTTTAAGACTTTATAGTTGGTGTTTAATCTTCCAGTCTTCCAAAAATGCATAACTATCAAATATTTTCAAATTTCATGTCAACTTGAAATATTTCTTAACTCAAAAACACAGATCTAGGCCTGTCACAATAATTTGGAAAGAGTAGAATTTTTCTTTTTTTTTTTTTTACATTTCATTACTCCAATATTTTTTTTTTTTGTTTTCGTCTTAATTATTTTTTTTTTCTCGGATATTTTACATGTTTAATTTCCCTTCAATATAACAACAGGAAACAACATTCCTCCCCTACTGTTGTCAATATATTGACACAGTATATCAATATATTGACAGAATCATAAATGAGGAGAATCTGTGTACAAAAAATAAAAACACCCAGAAAATTAAATCTTTTCTAGTTTACCACCTCTAAACGGTAATCACAACCAGACAGCGGTTCATTCAGACAGAGAGAGAGTAAGGATTACAGAGAACAGGAAGGCTTATTTTACTTTTGGAGAGTTGTAACCAAGGCAACAAGGGTCTTTTTTTTTTCTTCCTTTTTTTACAAAAAATTGTATAAACACTTATAACAAGATGTTATCTTGCAGAAAGGATATCTATAACTTAGTTTTGTCTTATTTCAAACATATTAAGATATTTGCACTAGAACAGGGGTGTCCAAAGTGAGGTCCAGGGGCCATTTACGGCCCCTGAACTGATTGTGTGTGGCCCCTGACCTCAGTTCAAGAATGATGCAAATTTGTTCACAATTTGAGGCGCAGGTGTTTGATGTAGATGGACCAAAAATAAAATCATATTACAATAGAAAATGTTGGCATCATCACCATATTGTCTTTAAATAACCAGGTCGTTTGCTTTTTACACATCTATCCAGTGATTTTTATTCAAAAGCAAATTTTGGTGCACTCAAATCGGCTTTTAATTAATCTATTAAATTTGGCTAAATTTTG